ACCCTTATTAAAATAAATGTTTCAAATTGAATAGAGTTTGATCATGTTTGTTGCAAATCTCAAAACATATCAGTAATATGCTCCAACTTACCTTTGCAGGTGCAGCTGGGACAGAATGAAGGGCTAATCTGCATCTGTTCCAACGTTTAACTTAACTAACCACAATCAGTGACCCAATTATTCGATAATATTCCTTACACAAAAACATCATATTCTTACTTATTCACTCACTATAATACCATAAATTTTCGAAGTTCTAGCTCGTCTTCATATTTACAATTGTTGTGGAAGGGCAATTATAATGACAACTTTTTAAAAAGTTGAACCCCAGTGGGTATTTAAAATGGGCATAATTTTTATTTACAGAAACTAAAGAAAAATCATTTTAGTAAAAGAGCCTCCATCCAATTCTCACTACGGCAGACATCAGTTAACGAGACGAAAATGAAAAAATAATGAACTCGCTCAACAAACAATCGCAAAATTACATCCAAACAACAACAGATACGAAAATGACATACAAAATTACGAAAATGACATCCGAAATTACGAAAAACTTCCCGCATGCACCAGAAAACCGATATCTATCAGCTAATGTGGGCAGAGAAGGTGGAATTAAAGTAAAGAAAAAGTGGGGGGACTAAAATAAACGAACTGATGAGGGTCCAGGCACTAGTTAACTTTAAAAGGAAGAAATTAAAGGATAAACTTCCTTAAACTATAGGGAGAGGGGTGTTACTATTATTCAGCTCGGAGGACCTAGATATTAATAAATGGAATAGTTTGAATTCTTTTAGACACAAATCCTGGGTATGATGATAAACTACATCCGGCAGCTATGCCTCTGACCGGGATATTAGAGGTTTTGAGGAGCATGGAATCATCACTTAATTGTTGTTGTTCCTAGGTCTACTGTGATCCGGGGTGGTAGCAACTGTTAGGGTCTCAGCTATGGGTAAATATTGGACCCCCAAATAAAAACAAAACATTATGGAAGTATAAAGATATATTTTTATAATAAAAATATCAGTAATCCATTTTTATATAAAAAATCACCAACACTGTGACTGAAGGAATACAGTTGCTTTCAAAATATATTTAGTTGAAGTCATAAAATTGTGTTCAAATTATTAAATAATCCATTGTGGTTGATAAGCCACTAAACAAAATCAAGCAAACAACCAACATGAAAGAACTCTTTCAGGACATTAATCCATATAATATCCTAGAATTTCTTAAAGAAATCAAACCGTATTCCGACATATAACTTCAACAAAACTACAACATAAAACACACATCACCGCATCCAGTAAATATGTCCATACAGATATATGTATACACAGAAGCTCAATATCATCTAGCATGTATTCAATTGTGAAAGCAATTACTACAAAGCTCCCAAGAAAATTAAATTTCGACATTAAATGACCCATAAGGTGTCGATATACCTTTAAACAAATCAATTAATCTTTTCGATGGGAGTTGTCTGTTTATTTTTTGGTAGCTCCGGTTTTCGTTTCAGAAAATTACAAAGCTTATTTTGAACTAATTATTGTCATTGACGTTTAAAAAAGAATTTATTATTTCGGGAAAGGAGGATAACATTCATAGATACCAGCGTTTGACTGACACAAAATTATAATGTGCCCGACCCCTTATCAAATGGCAATATACCGATTAGCGGGTTTCTTCAGATGGGCAGTTCAAATTGTTGGGTAATTTCAAGAATCTGGGGGTTAAGTTGAATACAAACAAAATATTCCGTTGGTGAGAAGTAATTTCCACTCGAACACCTTCCCGTGAACTACTGCTCTGTAGAACCTACTCCTAACAGAATGTTTCCCGATCACTAAAATTTTAATCTGTTCAAATCTAGGGTCAACCGTTATATTCCCCACATAAATTGTCTCTTACTCTGTGACCCTCTACCTAGAGTGGCTTTTGGACTTTGAACAGGGTGAACCACACTGTTAAAAAAATAAAAATGCAAAGCTTAACAAACAACATTTGAGGAGTAATTTCTCAAGATTATTTTTGTTTATAGACAGCAAAGATCCAACAAGAATTTTATTAATATTTGTCAAATTCAAGTGGATCTAAAATAGATTCTTTTAAAGTTTGAATGACCGTCAAAAAAGATTAGAAGCAAGTATTTGCCTGGAAAGGACATGGGTAAAAAAAAACAAAAACAAAACTACTAAAATATTCAAATGCTTACAAAGATTAACGCGAAGATCTACGGAAAGGGGTTATGAATCAAAATTTGAAAATTTTTGGTCTAACTGTCGATAGTATATGAGAAAACTTGTCGCTAGATAAATATATAGAGCGTGGTTTATGAAATAAATACTTATAAATCTTTTTGGCATTGCTGAAATAAAGACACTAAAACTGCACGTGGTTACGAGTGTTTCTTTTCAAGGTCTGCCTATTGGTTGAGTTAAACTATTTATTGCAAGTTGTGTCTAGAATTCAGTATTTTGGATGCCAATTTTCAACGAAGTCAGATCTCCCATCTTGGAAACTGACTTGACAATCTCTTTAATTCCTGTATGAGCCTAAGATAAGCTTAATAAATATCTAAACGTTTTGCTTTTTGTGATTTCTGAAGCGAATTCATTTAGTAGATACAGTCATTAGCGTTTTTCCTACTGTTTTACATATTTAATCTCGTGGAAATTCTCTCTATGGAAAACTTCTCACCCAAAATATCATAAAGAGGGACAAAACGTGTCAAGATTTACTAACCTGAAAGCATAAATTTCGTCCATGTCATCAGAACAAGTCAAACATTTGTGTTGTATCCAAAACGAGGGAACGGAGTTTATATTAGAGACAATATGGCCGCCTTGGTAGAACAAAAACGTAAACTTTATGATATAGACAACTGAAATTGCTAACTGGAAAAGTTATTGCTTACTAAACGTAATTTGTCTTAGTTTAGCATAAGTCAATGGGTATTTAACTGCGTACCCACTCGAACGGGATGTTGCTTACGGTCGAGTGGAAATTCTACACATACATAGGGTCAGAGTCCAAACATAGGCTAGGTCCCTTGGAATTTTCCTCCACCATGATAGAGGTGTATATTCATGGCATAAAAATATAATCGTGCCACAAGGCCGAAGGGGAAGCGGGGTGAGATTTGTCGTCACTGATTATCCTAAACCTAGGTAATCTGATTCGTGACCCATTCATTCATTACAATTTAGCCTCCTCCATGATAGAGGTGTTGCCTCGGGGAATGGGCTCTGGGGGACGAAATTCAATAATTAGCGTTCCAAGATCGACTTTTTACCAGCAGTACAGACAGTCGAATTGATTTCACCCGCATATATACACTTAAATTTGCATATGAAATACTCCCACAGCCTACATAGGAAACGTCCGACAATAATCATATTAACATATCGATAGACTGTTATCTTAAAACTCAGCATTTGAAATTCTGGATTTTAGGAGAATTCGAATGCCGATCACCAGGATATGCCCAACGACCTCAACTAGTGGGTAGGATCTGAGGAGCCACATGTGACTGATTTGACAGAATTACGTAATAACAGATATACACTCGTGCGTATGTTCGCACTTTACAAATCAATTTAGAACTAGACGAAATGCTTCAGTTTATTTTCTTAGAGTTTGGTTAGTGAGGCTTGTTACCACACACACACACGCACGCGCGCGTATGTGTGTGTGTGTGTGTGTGTGTATGCATGAACAAAAAAATTTATACCATAGAATTTATATATTGTCGTAATAATGACGGAGCGAATTCATTAAAAGGAACCATTTCGTTCAGCACTTTAGAAAGATTCATTGGAACAAAACCCTAAATATAAATAGGGTATTGCACAAGGCTCGGTTGGTTAAACATTTACATTTTTTAAAAGGTGTTAATATTAAGCTTCATCGACCGACTTTGTGTAGGTAGAAAGAGAACTTTCTTCGTTCTCTCTCTCTCTCAAAGGTTGATCGCAAGTACAAATTTTTCTGTTTTATTCTCACTCGGAGCTTATTTACATCGATTTATTGTTTTAATAATAAATTTATTTTAGTCGTGGCTCCTTATTTACGTTTCATTTCTAGGAAGAGGAGTTTATTTAGAGTCGGACTAATATCCTTATATTATTATGATAACGTTTCGGCCGTTGTGCTCTCTGACCTTTTCATGGTGTTTGTCGATTCGGATAGCATTCAGCTTCAAAGAATTCCAAATTGAGTTGTACTAAAAAAACAAGCCTCGACATCCCTGAACATAAACAACAGACCAAGTAAACCCTAAAACAAATGGAGGAGTGATCCCTTTTCCTTGACATTCAGCCTAGGGCCGCGGAATCGTTGTGCGGTAATCTAGCTGCCGTTCTGCTTTCTTTATAAGCATCTCATTTTTATCTTCTTTCCTTCCTTCCTACATTAATTCCTACATTCATTCATATGTTCGTTGGTTCGTTCATGCGTTCATTCCTTCCTTCATTCATTCGTTCGTTAAATCGCTCTTTCATTCATTCATTCATTCATTCTTTCATTCATTCCTCCCTTCAGTCTAATCAATCAGATTGTAAATAAAGTATAGCACAACAACATTGGCTAGTGGCAGATTGAATTATGTAATCGATAACGTCGTGTGAATGGACTTCGACGATGTAACTCGATATTTCTCCCCAAACTATGGCTAAATTATATTCTCAACAACATAAATAGATGTGTGTATGTTTTGATTTTCAGCAGCTAGCATACACTTTCTTTCCTTCTTTCACCGATCTCACTGATGATATTCTTTCTTTAATTTTTTCTTTCTTTCTTTTTTCTTTCTTTCTTTCTTTCTTTCTTTCTTTCTTTCTTTATTTATTTATTTATTTATTTCTATCTTTCTTTTACTGATCTCATTGTTGTCTTTTTTCTTTCTTTCAGTGACCTCACTGGTACCATTCTTTATTTTTTTTCTTTTCTTTACCTATCACTGTTGAATCTCTTCCTTTCTTTTTTCACGGATCTCAATGATGCCATTCTTTCTTTCTTTCACTGATTTCACTGGTGCCATTTTTCCTTTCTTACTTTTTATCGCTAATTTCACTGATGCCATACTTTCTTTTCTTTTTCTCCCTTCTTTTATTATCTCATTGGTGCCATTTTTTCTTCATTTACTGTTGTGTATGATACACCTAATTTACATAAGTGGAGTACCGACCATATAAATATGGGTTGGTACCGGAAGACGACGGAAGATTAAGAGATCGAATCCAGAGACTCTGCCCGACTGCGACTTAGTCAACCCATTCTGCAGGAACAGTCTTCCCAAGAATATACCAAAACTACCTGTAAATATTGTGTACCTTTTTTCATTGTTTCAATACATTTTGTTACGTACATTTTGTGTTGTATTATTATTATTCCATGCTTATTCAAGCTTCAACATTTACTTATATCTCTGATATCAATTATGCCTTTCTTTCTTTCTTTCTTTCTTTCTTTCTTTCTTTCTTTCTTTCTTTCTTTCTTTCTTTCACTGATCTCATTGGTGCCATTCTTTCTTTCTTTCTTTCTATCACTGATCTCACTGGTGCAACTCTTTGTTTCTTTCTCCTTTTCTTTCCTTGATCTCACTGTTTTCTTTCTTTCTTTCTTTCTTTCTTTCTTTCTTTCTCATTTCATCTCATCTCATCTCACCGGTGCCTTTCTTTCTTTCACTGATCTCACCTGTGCCATTCATTCTTTCTTTCACTGATCTCAAAAAGATACCATTCTTTCTATCTTTCACTGATATCACTGATCCCTATCTATCTTTCTTTTTTTTATTATCTGTCGTGATCAATAATCTGGAAAAGGCCAGTACGCTCAAATCCTCGATCATAATGACTTGCTTCTTTGTCCTCCAACACAGGCCAAGAATAAAACAAAACAAAAAAAAACAACTACAGCCTGGCAGCCGACTCTGCTGGCTCGGCTCCCTGAGTTACCAAATAAGATCATCGAGTCAAAAGAGTGAATGCGATGTGGGCGAGCTGATATTGGCGTTAAACGAAAAGTTCTGGTGAAAGCACACGT